TGTGAACAATTTTTTCAAATGCTTTTGCCATGACACAGATTATGCTAACAGGTCTATAATCCTTTAGCTCAGATGGGTTAGCTTTCTTTGGTATAGGCAAGACTAGAGATTTTTTCCATAATTGAGGGAAAACACCATTCATAAGACTAAAGTCAAATACATGACATATCACAGGTATTAATACGGAGAGGATAAGAGGACGGCCGCCGTCGGCGGCCCAGTATTGTCGGGCAGGGAAGGGGCCCATCCCCCATCCCGGACTGTATTGTTAGGCAGGGTAAGGGTAGGGGAGGTAGGGGCCTGGTGCGACACTGACTCACTGGCCGGACACGATTTCGCCCGCCAGCGCCCAAGAAATTGTTTTCTGGTCTCCGCTAGGTTCTCTTGCAGTACCGAGAGTAAAAGCTAGCTGACACCTTACAGTTACTTATAATATTCTTTTAGTTTTAGTCAAAGGCTAATTAAGTTATCATCTGCTACAAAAAAAGTTCCGTTCAGGAACGGATCGTGAAAGCAGATGATACGAATTCAAGAATTATTCCAGTCTATAATATTTCAGTGGAAGATCACGTTACGCATTACTTGTATAGTATAAAGATAATTTACAAATCTTAATTTACATTTAATGAGGTATTCACGCATAAAAAGATTTGGGTTGTGTTCTGTGTCTCCTATTTTTTGTAATGTTTTGAAGGGTCTAAGACAAAGTTAGTGTGAAGAGGGACGTAGAGACAGTTTGCGAGTGATACTTTTCAATAGAGACATGGTTTGAAAATAATGTTTCTGAATTCATTTAGTTCTGTCTCTTCATAGTTACATTAGAGTTTGAATTACCGCGCCGCGCGCGTTCCTCAGCCGAGACGGTCCGAGCCAAGCTGCGCTTCGAGCCGAGCGACGAGCCGAGTCTGCCGGAGGGAGGGGGCTGGGGGCGTCTGGCTGGGGGCGTCTGGCTGGGGCACGGCGGGCGGGACCGGTCCGCACCGCGCGCCCCTACACTACTGGATGACGTCATGCCTGGTGCCTCTCAGCGCTCCGCATGAGAGTACAAGCAATGATACATGGTTAAGTAAAGTATTATTAATTTTAGTTGTGTATAATGTATCATCTGCTAAAAATATTCTTGCCCCAAGTATAATCCGGTTGCGGCAAGAAAACATTTTTTCACTCGTTCTAGTGAAAGGTTATAAGCTCCAGCCGAGTGATGGGGGTCCCGTGCCGCCGCCTCACGAACTGTCTGCCATTCATTGATGATGGCCTTTCCTGGAGGTTGAAAATTCTTTAAGCACTGAGGCCTAGTATGCGGTAGTCCCATCTGGCACTGGCAGGCCAACTTGGCCGCCACATCGGCGTGTTCGTTTGGCAGGCTGCCTTTGTGGGAGGAAACCCAGGCCACTCATATCGACTTGTGGGGAGGTGGCTGATTGAAATCCTTAGGTTTGTGAGAGTGGGCGGCTCATGCATCGGTATATCCTTTCTTTACAGGGTGATATCCAAGTTTTGCTGTCAGAATTAATTGTGTTTCTGTTTAGGCCATTTATGTAGTCCACTAGCTAGTGGACTACCTTTTCTCTTAGGTGCCAGCTGGAGGGCTCTTACTTCAGCATCATATACACTGTAGATGTGGATGCCAGTTTATTGATGACGGCAACCTCCCGGTGTTTATTTACATCCACCATAGCAGCACCTACAGCTGGGGGTTGCTAAAGGCGAGAACCATCAGTTGGTAGGATGAAGTACCCTCTCCATGCCCCTTGTAAAAGGACATAAATATCCACTGCTGAGGCATTTGCTGGCAAATGTTTTGCCGCAACTGAGTGCTCAGGAGGGAAAGTGGACGACATCTTAGTGGGTAGGTCCCTTGAACAATACTCCACCAGGTAACCCAGGGTGATCTCCGATGTAAAAATCTCTGCTGTAGGTAGTGCTGTGCGAATCGAGTTTTTTGATTCGATTCGAATCGAATTTCTTCAAATTTTCTTCTGATCGAATCGAATCGGACCAAAACACTTCGAATCGAATCTTTCTAAATTCGCGAACGAATCGAATCGAATTTGCACCCCCCCCCTCCTCGCGATGAAAAAAGAAAATATGACCGTCGTGTCTGTGCTTAGTATGCAGAGCTTCCTATGAAAAACCTACGTCTCATTGCCAGGGCGCTCTCACGCGGCTCGTGCGCCCTTTTTGAAAGGTGCATACTTAACCGGGAAGATTCGGTGGCGAATCGTGACCGATTCGAAATTTTGAACCTTGCGGGGTCGAATCGTTGTGATTCGGATTCGACTCGAATCGAATCGGGCCCGATTCGATTCGATTTCGAACATTCGCACAGCACTACCTGTAGGTACTAATGCCTGCATCTGCCCTTGAATTATGGGTGGTATATATTCAGTGCGACGTCTCGGGAGCCTAATGCATTTGTCCAGAGTGGATGGAATTTTATTTGAGGAGATGCTCTTCTACTTGAGTAATACTTTTTGGATATGCAGTTTTTGCCTGATTCTCAAGGGCCTTTCCCCTACTTCTGTCAATAAGGCCTGCTTGGAAGTAGATTTCAGGGCTCCAGTCATAATCCGTGCTCCTTCGTTTTGTACACTTTCTAATTTCTTCCACATATATATCCTGCGTTATGGTCGACAATCTCTAAACCGTAGTCCAGGATTGGCAGCGACTCAGGTACCCCTTGTTATCTGTATACCTACCTACTCATGTATTCATTATTTCTTGCGTAGTCCAGTAAGTACACAGTAAATAATGAATACATAGCCAAGTACGCAGTATTTACTGCATACATGTTCATACTTAGGTTTCCAGAGTAAGAATGAAAAATAATAGTTCAGAGCCTTTTTGAATTTGTAGCGTAAAACAGTTTTTGGTGTTTCCTAAAGAATTGTGGCTTTGAAGTTTTTCCCTTCTTTTGCGCTCTGCCCCCTAAGCAGCTGTAAAGCAGATTTGCCACCACTCCCCTCTGAGGGGCGTGTCACGGGGGTGGTCAGCCCCACCCTTAGGGTAGTTTTTGAAAATCGTCGCGATCTCCACTGGGAACTTACTCAGTGCGTCCTACACATTCTCAACTGAAGTTTCAAGACTTTTCCAGGCCTCCTTAGTGTGAAAAATGTGGAAATTTCAGATAAGGGTTAGACAGTTAGGGGTAGTACAGCCCTTCAGGGGGCTGAAAGTGAAACAGGCACTTTGCTGTCGTTGCCCACGTTAAACTACTGGATTCCCTACAGAATTCGAGATTAAAACAAAAAAAAAAAAAACCTTTGAGGGGTTGGGAATGCCAGCGATAGGCTGCGAGGGTGGCTCTTCTGGCCCAGAGAGAAATGGGTTGTCGAAATACCGTGGATTCCATGTGGTTTCGTGGACCTTTCGTGGTGGTGGATACATCCACTAGATATCCACCACTATTTACCTTTCTAAAAAGTTGCATATAAAATCAGAAGAAACCATTTTTGCAACATTTCTCACTAAATGGTATTCTATTCTCAGGATTTAGTTGCTCGTACCAGTTGGTCTCAAATGTAGCCATGCTTCTCACTTTAAAACAGCGCCAACGAAACTGTTAGACCACACGCTTTACGCTTTTCATTCGTCATCTTCATTGAAGAGTAATCAGACAGTGTTCTTGACAGACCACCTTTCAAAAATTTCCGCCACGACACCATGCACGGAGAGTTTCGTTTCGCACGAAAATAGGTGGCACCGTGTATGTTGTTTACATTCGAATTGTCTTTTACTACATAAAACACACATTTTTAGGCGTAGGGGGGCGCTTGACCCATCAACATGAAGCGTAAAGTATGGCCTTTAAATCGGTATAGGCGTTTGGCTTGTGCGATCAGAAACTATTTGTTAAATCGAGGTTAATGTTGAGAGATGTTTCAGAGGAGAGCCAGCCGCGGGCAGTGGACTAAAAATAGTCCCAGTTTGAGTGGTTACATCTATTTCGGAGGGACGAGAATGCCCAAAACGAGCTTCAAACATGGTACCGTGGTCCTTGAGGAGGAAATGGGTAATATTGGTGACACTATAAATGCAAGTTGGATTTTCGAGTTTTGACCGTCTGCCAAAACCACTGTGCGGTGAGGGATATAGCCAAACGGACAAAATTTTAGTCCGAAAGATTCTACTTTCACGAGTTACCCCTTAGGGTGGTTGTAAGGATAGGCGGGCGGCGGGCTAACATAAGAAGTAGGAAAATGTGATTTTAAGAAAAGGAAGGAAAGACTTTAAAACAAGAACCAAGTGACCCAACTACCTGGCGCTTATAGCATACAAAAGGTAAAGATGACACCACAATTTGACCTCAATGGCTGCGAAAAAATCTGGATTTACACGTACTCCGAAAAGTTATTATGTCCCGCGGCTGAAGTTGCATGAGTTTCGACTTTGTTGCGATTTTCGAAACCAGCGGCTGGATTGCCTGCGTTAAGTTTTTGGTGTAACTACTGTGATCAACCATGAAATCCCACAAGCGCTTCTGTTTCTAGTGTTCATTACCTTGATAGTGCATGTTAAAGGCACCAAAAAGCTGCTGGCAAGCAGGTGCATCAGATGAGTTGCGAAAAACATCTCGAAGTTCTGAGACAAGTCTTTGACCCGTTGGTGATACTTGATGACATCAATCACCTCACGCTTAGAAGCAGCAACTTGCAGTTGCAGAGAGAGGGTGCGAATCAGAGCAGTCAATGTGATGAGCACAGAAAAAATCAGCGCCCACCTATTCAAAGAAATTCAGTATGTCAGTGCGACTCCCATTTAAAGGGATGGACAGTGGACAGACAGATGTACATTCCAACAAATATGAACGAACATAGTTATTGACGACCCGGTGCTGTGTGCCACGGCAAAAACTTTTGTCCTCTTTAAATTCGTACACAAGAACTAGGCAATTCTGGGAGAAGTGGTCAGAAATGTACGTCCGTCACGAGATTTGTGAGCGACGGATAGGCGCTACGTTTTTTCTTCAACACATGTCCTGAATCATCATCTCAAGACGCGTCGTGTCCAGTCATGTTTTGTACGAAGCCGTAGCACCTCCCAGTCACTCACAAATCAGGTGACGTACGGACACTCCTTCTTGAATTTAACCAAATAATAACTCTGAAATGAATAAAATATCTGACAATGTATCAAAAATTACGTGGTCATGAATCAAAAACATGAGAAAAAGAAAGAGCTTACTCCGAAGGGCGCATCTCTATTAAAACAAGGAAACCTTGTATCGAGGGGGTTTTACCTTGCGTAATACCCTGTACAACTGACCTAGGTATTACACGGTATGACGCACAATGTAAGGGAGGGTGGGGCAGTGTGTAACAGATTTGGGAATTTGGCTATAAAAGTCAATCCCTAAAAAAAAAAAAAAAAAAAAAGGGTAAATCGGGCGCAAAAAATTACATTGGACCTTTACTTAACATGAAAGTTGCTCGGATGTATTACTAGGCGCATTCCCGTATGACCTACAGCTTGTTGAAAAAAGGTCTGCATTTGTTACACACTGCCCCGCGCCGGGGCAGTGTGTAACGACAGTGGGGCAGTGTGTATCAAAGGCTAGGATTGAGCTCTGGAGACAGCTAGAAAGAGAGAAAACAGCTTCCCCTTCCTTTCTATTATAGCTGCTGATATAACAACAGTTTGTAGCAACTACTTTTATTGTTAACATGGAATTTTCTTAAAATTTTCAAGTTTTCAATTGAAAGGTTCAAATTCGTACTTATTTTGGATATATTTTGTGAACTTGAAATATGATCAAAAAGTTGTGCCTCAGTGAGACTGTTAGGGCACAGGCACAACAGTGATAAGCAAATAAGACGATGCGTACTGCCCTAGACTACCCCAGACGTTCATCTTACACACAGCCCCAGGGTACACAGCCTGTTTTGTGACCTCGTAGACCGAGAACCCTCGAAGTCGTGTTAGTGACAACGACTATTTTACAAGTGCTAAGCCCAAAGAGGAATTTTGGTGGAAGGAACGTGGGTTCCACGTAGACGTGGATTCAACGTCGAGTATCCACGTGATATCCACGTGGATTTGACTCCTTTATCCACGATATTTCGACGTCGAAATCACGTTGATTGAAAAACTTTTTTTTTTCAACCTTGAGTGGAGTTGAACCCTCGGTTGAACCTGGAACCTTTGAGTTAGTAGTCTTGTACCCTATCCATTACCCTACGGCGACGCTGCTGGAAGAGGAACGCCAGCTATCGGTCCCTTTCATAAGCACACGAACAGCGCCCCAGGCAGCTTTCTGGTTTATACGGCGTTGTGCGTTGTACGTTCAGAAGTATAGCCTTGAATTTAATTATTGTACTTCCTTGACAAAATTTTAAAATTTGTTCGACTATGAATACTTAGCTTTGAACACTATTTTTAACGTTGAACGCAATAGACGGTAAAGTGGATATCACGTGGATTCCACGTTCACTGTTAAAAATGTTATTAATATTCATAA